AGGAGGAGGAGGAGGAGGAGGAGGAGGAGGAAGAGTAAAAATAGATATGCCTATACTGCCATGTTTTGCCGCCTGTGCCCTGAGTCACCCTCGCCATCAGATCACTCAGTTGTCCTCGACATCTCCCAGGAACTTAGTGCCTTTCTCTATCACATTAGCCAAACTCCCAAAAGGTATCATTAACTGCCTGGGGAGACATTAAGTATTTCTAAACTGAAGATCAAGGCAGAGATTTAGTTCCTCACAGGTGCAGACCAAATTGGACCAGGCCCCTGGGTAGGTGAGGCGCACAGAGCCCACGCCCACCTGAGCCCATTGGTCTCCATCTGGGGAACAAGGAGGCGGAACACCTAACAGAGGACGGAACGGGGGAGCGGGGCGGGAGGAGGAAGACCGGAGCCGCCCCGCCGCCTGCCACGTACAGGTGATCCTGCCGCTTGAAGGCCTTGCCGCAGATCTTGCAGATGTGCTTCCGCTCCTGGCTGTGCGTCAGGTAGTGCTTGCTGAGCGAGCTGGCGCTGCTGAACACCTTCCCGCAGAGGCTACAGTCCAGGAGCGCGCTCTGGGGAGAGCTGTGCTGCCGCTTCCCCTTCCTGGCGCTGCCCGAGGTGGCTCTGCCGGCTTCCTCAGCCTCTCTGGGAAGCTTGAATGCGCCCGGCCCCTGGTCTAAACGGGGAGGGAGAAGGCACGGGTCATCCACAGCTGGAGACTGCACAGGGCCCCCCACCGCGGCCCTCCAAGTCTCCCACAGTCTCCTCCAAAATCAGCAGCTCTGCAAGTGAGGAGGAGGGAGGGGGGAGCCCCCGTGGGACTATACCTGGTTCTGCCTTGTGATAAGGGACAGGCTTGGTGGCAGGATGACTTATAGGACAGCATGACCTCTTAGGGCAGGGCTGCAGCACTGCACAGCTGCCTGGTATGTGTGTGCAGAGGGCGAATCTGGGACGCTGAAACCCCTGTACTCACCAACCAGCTCTACTTTTGGGTTTTTCTTTCCTTTTTTTTTTTGGTACTGGGAATCAAACTCAGGACCTTGCGTTTGCCAGGCAGGAGCTTATGCTGTTGCACTATCTCCCTGGTCCCTACTTTTGGGTTCTTAACTATAATTGCAATTTACTGCAAAGCTTTGGCCACAGGCAAGCTGAGTATGTTTCACCTTTCCTGGCAAACATCAGACCGGCCAACAACAGAACACAGGGGTGACTGCATTATGGTTCAAGTGGTCTGTGACACATGCCTCTAAGTAAAGCTGAGGGAAACACTTGATGACATGAAGGATGAGAGAAAGGCAGCCTACCATAAAACAGAATGACCCTAGTTGTTAATAAACAAACAAACAAAAAACCTGGGTGTGGTGGCACATGCCTAGAATCCCAGCACTCAGGCAGCTGAGGCAGGAGGATCGCTGCAATTTAGAGGCCAGCCTGGGTTATAAGAGGAGTTCAAGGCCAGCTTGGAATACAAAGTAAGACCCTGTCTCAAAACAAACAAGCATATTTGAGTAGAAAACAGAATGCACCTATGGAAGGATGGGTCAGTTTTATTTTCTTCTTTGTGTATGTCTGAATTTGTCATGTTTTCTGTATCTCTTGGAAAAATGACAGAAAATATTTTTATGAACCATGTCACTGGAGGAACAGCTGAAGGACCTGCAAGACTCTGGGGAGAGGTGGGAGGGAGGCGTATTTGAGTCTCGGAAGGGCAGTGCATGGAGCAGGAGGAGAGACTGCATCTGTCTCAGTCCAGGGACAGAGCTAGCACTGGTAAACGAGGATTAAAGGGAGGGTGATTTTCAACCACTAGAACCACACAGACCACACGGACACAGCCTCTGCCTGGCTCTGCCATGCTGCTCTCTGCTGACATTCCCATCTGGCACTAGCAGGCACTCAAAAACATATGCTAGGTGAATAAAAAAATGAATGATTGATTGATTGACTGATTGATTGATTGATTGCTCCATAGCTCAGGCTGGCCTAGAATTCACAGTGATCCCCCACCTCAGCCTCCTGCCTGCTGCAATGACGGGCATGCACCACCATGCCAAACCAGAATGGGAGACTTTTCTGTACCTTAGATGAACCTGCTGGATGGACCAGACTGTGTAGAAACAGCCATTTATCAAGTCATAAAGACAGGATCCAAGAATCCATGGGGAGGGGCAGGGAGGAGGCCAAACCACAGGATCTCGAACCACTGAGCACTGGTGGCTGGCGGACACAGAGGAAAGGAAGGGCAGTGCATGTCCAGCTTCACCCACACAGGAACTGTTTGCCACTTCCTTTGCCTGACCTTTGTCTTCCTTGCAGGAGAAATGACTATAGCAAGGGGTTTAGTAATTCCAAGCAAGGAAAATCTGGGCTCCCTCTGGGGCCATCCTTTATCCTTGCTAATTTATTTTAAAAGCTCCTTCGAGCAACTGTTAAACTGAAAAAAAAAAAATGTTGCCAGATATGGTAGGTCACACCTGTAATCCCAGCAGTTGTGAGGCTGAGGCAGGAAGATGCCACAAGTCTGTGACCAGCCTGGGCTACATAGTGAGTTCAAGACCAGTCTGAACTAGAGACCCTGTCTCAACAATAACAAAGGAAGGAAGGAAGGAAGGAAGGAAGGAAGGAAGGAAGGAAGGAGAGAAGGGGGGAAAGAGAGAGAAAGAGAAAGAGAAAGAGAGAGAGAGAGAGAGAGAGAGAGAGAGAGAGAGAGAGAGAGAGAGAGAGAGAGAGAGAGAAAAAATTGAAAAAATATGGCAAGGACCCTGAAAAACAGGCAAACAGAATCACTGGCCTGGGAAATGTCACTTTCTGTCTGGGTAAACCCACTTGGAGGGTAATACAGTATTCTGAAGAAAATTCAAAATGTAAAAAGCTGTTCACAGAAACAGTATCCTAGCCTAAGAATGTGGGCTAACAATACCACAGAACAGCTGTTACAATGACAAGTGTGTGGTCCACCTCTATGTGTGAAAGCAAATACAGTTTTCACAATTACAAACAGAATTATTAGTTTATGTATGTATTGATGTGTGTAATATTGAGGATAAAACCCAGGGCCTTGGGCCAGCCAGATGGCTCAGGGACTAAAGTGCCTGCTTAGGTAAGCTTAGGCAAGCCCACGCTTCGTCAGTTGGGCTGGGAATAGTGGCTCACACTTGTAATTCCAGCACTGGGGAGGCTGAAAAAACAGGAGGATCATTATGAATCCTAGCTGTGTAGTGAGATCCTGGACCAAATACATTTTTTAAAAAAGTTAGAAAAGGTCAAACTAGATTAACGACTTGGACAGACCCCTATGACAACCTTATGAAAGTGACATAATTACACAGTTCCTATCACCAGCATTTTAGGCCATCTTGGTGGCCAGGCTGGGGACTGCTTATTGCCCAGTGCTTCCCCAGGGCCTGCACCTCAGTAAGTGTCTCCTACCCTTATTTCATCCTCAGCCATCGGGCCAGCACAGTGGCAAAGCGAACATCTGTCTACTTCATCTTCTGTGGAGTAGCATCCTCAGAGGCTTTTCATTTTAGTAGGTTCTTTGGAATGTCGTTTTGTTCTACTTTTGGTTTTCTGAGACAGGGCCTCACTCTGTAGTTCAGGATGGATTTGGACTCACTATGTGACCTAGTTTGTCTTGAATTTATGGTGATCCTCTTGCTTCAACCTCCCAAGTGCTGGGATTACAGGTGTGTGCTACCATGACTGGATTTTTTTTTTTTTTTTGAGACAGGGTCTCACTATTTTGCCCAGGCTAATCTTGAACTCAAAGTGACCCTCTTGCTTCAGCCTTCCCAGTACTGGAATTATAGGTACATGCCACCACTCTGGGCTGGAATTGTCCTTAAGCTACTTATCCAAGTAAGATTAATGCCGGGCATGGTAGCCCATGCCCATAATCCCAGCACTTGGGAGGCTAAGGCAGGAGGTTCACTGTAAGTTCAGGCCAATCTGGGGTACTCAGAGAGAACTTATCTCAAAACATCCCTGCACAAAATTAAGATATATTATAGTATTGTTAACTAGCTGGGTGTGGTGGAGCAGGCAGGAGGATCATTAGAACCCAGGGGTTCTAGAATTTCTTAAGAAAATGAAACACTTAATATCTGTCCAATGCTTCATGGCCTTTAAAGAGCTTCTATGATTGCTTCAACTTTTGCTCCTCTCTACAAAAGAAGACAGTGAAGCCTAGGAACGTCAAGCACCTTGAGAGCAAAATGGACAGGATCCCAGTGCATTCTGGGAAGGTGAAGAGCCCTGAGATTATGTCATGGACAGGAAAGTCTCTCACCAGGCTCTGTACACACACCAGCAAAGGGCTGGAATATGAGCTGGGGAGATAGCTTGACACAATAAGCACCTGCCTGGCAAGCTCAAGGACCTGGGTTCGATCCCTGGTACTGCATGCTGTGCTAGCCACTGAAACCAGGTGTGGTGGTGCATGCCTATGATCTTGGCACTAGGGAGGCTGAGACAGGAGGTTCACTATGAGTCTGAGCTGAAGACCCTGTACTAAATAATAAATAAATAAATGTTAAAAAAAAAAAAAGGCTGGAATATCCCCAAGCAGCTATGGCTCTCAACATCATTCCTAGGTTAGTTCTGTTTCTTTTGCTAGGGAGTTGGGAGTGACTCTGAAGGGACAGGGGTGGCTTTTCCCTATATCAGTTGTAGGAGAGTTTTCTGAACTGACTGCAGGGACTGTTAAACATCCCAGCCCTTCCACCCAATGGGGCAGCCTCACCTTGTGTAGAAGTCTGAGACTCCAGATCTGTATATTCCTCCAGCAGCTTCCCGGCATCGCTGTCCCTCCCTGAGTACAGGGACAGGGTATCTAAGTTGTCCTCCAGGACCTCACTGGGTACATCAGGCCCCGAGAGTGTGTGGTCCAGGTCCAAGCCACCCAGGCTGGCATAGAGCAGGTCACGCGTGCTGGGACCCAGATCTCGATTGAGGGTATCATTGCAGTTGAGACCTTGGCTCTCTGAGAACAAAGGAAGGTGCGTTTCTGATGGAAGGGCACCCTTGTCCCCAAGGCCAAACTGGTCCATGGCTCTCTGCTACCTGGTCCTGGCCACTCTCAGACAGGCAAGGCTGAGAAAGAAGTCAAATAGATAGAGCCGTTGGTGGTGGTTAGTTCCTGAAAATGAACAAGGAGGAATCAAAATTATGAGATAGTGATTTGGTGTGTCAGGGAGAGCACGAACTTGGAATTCAAACAGTCCCAAGTAGGTCTGCTCCCAGTCACCCAACAGTCATGTGACTTTGGGAAAGGTATTTTGGCTCCACAGCCTGTTTCCTCATCTGTAAATGGAAAAGAATAGGTGAAAGGATTCCTAGCACATGGTCCATGAAGTAGACTTCTTTCTCCAGCTAAAAATAGATAAAGAATAGGATTGTTAATCCTAATATGTCAACTTCATTGAATTAAGAAAATGCCTAGGGCTGGTGAGATGGCTCAGTGGTCTAAAGCATCTACTTAGAACAAGCTTAGCAAAGCATGTGGACCGCGGTTCAATCCCCAGCACCACATGCCAGCCAGCCCCGCCCCCTGGTGGGCTGAGCTGGCCACACACACACACACACACATAAATAAATAAATAAATAAATAAAATTAAAAGAGCAAAAAAAAAAAAAGAAAATGCCTATATCCAAGTGTGGTGGCACATACCTGTAATCCCAGCACTTGGAAGTCCGAGGCAAGAAGATCCCCATGAGTTCAAGACCAATGTACGCTACACAGTGAGTTCAAGGCCAGCCTAAACTATACACCAGACCCTATCTCAAGAAAATGAAAAACAAAGGCCTAGCAGATTAATAAACACTTCCTGGGAGTCTCAGGCTGGTTGTACGGGTATTACAGCCTTGCATACTATATAGCGGGGGTCCCTAAACCCTGGCTATGGCCTGCTATTCACCTGCAGACTATAAGGAGCCAGTGAGCATCAGGGAAGCTGGTGAAGCTTCATCTGTATTTACAGCAGCTCCTCTCTACACACAGGGAGGGCCACCTGGGGTCCACCTCTGCCAGATCGGTGGTGGCATTAGCTTCTCCTCAGAGCACAAACCTCACTGTGAACATCACATGCCAGGGATCTAGCTGCTATGAGAATCTAATGCCTGATGATCTAAAGTAGAGTTTGATCCTCGCACTGGGGAGCAGCTGCAGTACAGACGAGCATTAGCAGGGATGGTAATAAATCAATTGCTTGCAGTGAGTGGCCAGTCATAGTTAAACTCAATCTGGAAGCAGGCTTTATAGTGACACCTGAGCTGACGCACTTCAACTGCATGGCTGCAGCTGGTGCCAGGCTTTAGATGAGACTCTGACACATATTTCAGTCTGTACATAGACTGCCCATTGCTTTATTTCCTATTTCCATGTGTGACTCTTTCTTGCACTGCCCACTGTCTCAGTCACAGCCTTGGGAATTCCAGAGCTAACTGCAACCAAATGAGTTAAAAAAAAAAAAAAAAGTCACTGGAAAACTTCTTCAAATGGGGGTGAGACCCAACGATGAGCCAGAAGATCCTCTGACTGCCAGCAACAACACAAGAAAAGCTTTTTTTTTTTTTTTGTCTTTTTGACACAGGGTCTCTCACTACACAGTTCAGGCTGGCCTTGAACTCACTTTGTAGCCCAGACTGGCCTGGAACTTACAATGATCCTCCTGCCTCAGTCTCCCAAGTGCTGGGATTATAGGCATGTGCCACCATGCCTGGCTTAAAAACTGCATTAAAAAGAAAGTACCAAGAGTCCTACTTAAATTATGGGTTCATTGCAGCGAGTCACCCACATCTTCCAAGACTGCTTTGTATAACATGTAATGACATCAGTTTATCCAATAAAACTTTGAAACTTTCAGAACTGCTTTGCTACATGGAGACCAAGTGCCATGCATTAAAAGACAAACCTCTCAGATTTTTCAGATGAAAAAAGACCTGAACACAAAGAACAAAAGCAAACTTTTTGGAGACAGGGCCTTGCTATGTAGTATAAGCTGGCCTGGATCGTCCTGCCTTGACCTTCTGAGTACTGGGATTACAGGTGTGTGTCACCACACCTAGCCAGAAGCAATTATTGAAGGCCAACTCTTCACCAAATATGTGTGCACTGAGAGCATCATTCTTAGTGGCCAACTGCATTGTTAGGTTAAGAAGCCCTTTTCTACAGATGAAGAGAGTCTATGGCTTTACCAACCTCAGTGTGCCCGATCTTGTCTGATCTTAGAAGCTAGTAAGTGTCAGGCCTGCTTAGTACTTGAATGGGTGAATACTGTCAAAGAGTTGATCTTGTCTAGTGCTAAGGTCACGAGTTGTGAACGTTTAGGAGTGGCTGTGGCTCCAAGTGTGACATGTGTTCCTCTCTTGGGTAGCATCATAACTACACAAACTGATGAATTGGCAGAGGGTATTGAGGTGCACTTGTCAGAGAGGATGAATGAGTTGCTCTGGTATGCAGTACAGGTGGACATGCCTACTGGTGTTGACAGCAAGGCATCAATGTTTGTTTTTGTGTGATATATTTTTCAGGACAATGCATGAGGGTATGTTATGTGCATTTTTATTCCAACCAACAACACAGAAGCACAATTATTCAAGTCTTTGAATCATACCAGGAAAATATAATTGGTCATTTTGTGTCAGTAAATGAGAGAGAATGACTTCCTGGTTTCATGTGCAGGTCAAAGAGGTTACTTATAAATGTGAGTCACTGTATCATCCTTAGAGAAATGTTGGCTTGCCAAAAAAGTCACCTAAACCTAACAACATTTTGCAGAATGTGATTAACTTATCAGCCACATTAAAGCACAAGCCCTTTACTCCTGTCTACTGAAGCAGCCTGTGAGGAGATGAGTGCAGAGCACACATTCTTTTATCCACAGAGGTGAGGGGGATTTTTTTTTTAAATGTATTTAGTACAGGGTCTCACTATGCAGCTGGGACTTGTAGTGATCCTCCTGTTTTCAGCCTCCACAATGCCAGGATTACAGGCATGTGCCACCACGCCCCATCTTAGTGGCCAGCTCAGTGTGCATGGGGTTGGGGCCAGTGAGGCATGTGGTGTCTGGGATCAAACCCTGGCCTCTGCGCTTGCTTACTCAGGCATAGTCCGCTGAGCTATCTCACTGGCCCTAGTGAGGTGGCTTTTTGAAGGGAGATCACTGCCAAAGTTTCTAAATTTGCAAGAAAGCTCCAGACATTTCTTAGAAAAATAGGAACAACCAGCAGTACAGTTCAGTGACACAGAATAGGCCACAAAACTTGCTTACTTGTGTGATAGAGTCAACTTGCTAAAAGAACTATTCAGAGGAAAATAACAACTTCAAGTCAGCAATGAAAGTGGATGCATTCAAGACCAAACTAGGATTATGGAGAAACAAAGGAACATTGGTATTTTTGAAATGTTTCAAACATTAGCAGGGATTTTAAAAGAGACAGAGACAGGGCCTTCTTTCTCCAGTCTAGTGTATGATCACCTATCTCTGCTTTTGAAGAGTTTGTACATTGCTTTCCAACCACAAAAGATCCCTGAACTGGGAAGGAATGGATCTGTGACCTAACTGTGAATAAGCCAGGTCAGTCAGCTTTGTCTGTGCTAGAAGAGAATCAACTGCTTTGGGCCGGCCAGACGGCTCAGCGCACTAAAGCATCTGCTTAGGCAGAGCTCAGGACTAGGGTTTGATCCCCAGCATGCCCTGCCCATGGGACATGCTGAGATGGCGACCGAGACTGGGCGTGGTGGTGTGCGCCTGTAATCCCAACACTTGGAGGGCTGAAAACAGGAGAACTGCTCTAAGTCTAATCTGTGTAGTGAGACCATGTAGATCCTGTTCTAAATACATGAAAAACAAATAGAAGAGAATCAACTCCTTGAGATCATAAATCATTGTGACCTTAACAGTATTTTGAGACAGTTTCAAATCTCTGTGATGTTTGAGATCAAAGTTAAAGTAAATAACTTCATATTGCCATAAAAGCACTGAAAAGCCTGCTTCCAGTTTCAATCATCCTTTTTTCTTTTTCTTTTCTTTTTTGTCTTTTTGAGACAGAGTCTTGTATGCAGCTCAGGCTGGCCTTGAACTCACTATGTTGCCCAGGATGGTCTTGAATTCAAAAAGATCTTCCTGCTTCAGCCTCCCAAGTGCTGGGATTACAGGCATAGGTAACCATACCCCGCCTCCATCATCCTGTCTTTGTGAAGCAGGGTTTTCTGCAGTGACAGCAGCCAGGATGAGATTATGGAGCAGACAACATAAACAGCACACTTCAGGCACCACTGTTCCACGAATTCCAGGCTATCTAAGTGTTGGAAAATGAGCTCAGGGCTCCCACCGATGCTGCACGATGGTGAGTTGTGCAATTATTTCATTATATATTACGAGGAAATAGTAACACAAAGAAAGTGCACAATAAATGTAATGCACTTGAACCAGCCCCCACCAGTCCATGAGAAGAATAACCATCTTCCAGGAAACTGGACCCTGGTGCCCAAAGTCGAGGCCACCACTGTCCACTGCTCTTGCCCACATGCACACATGCACTGTTGCCCCGCTCTGCTTCCCAGCTGCCGTGACGGAGCAGTTCTGCTTCTCCAAAGTCTTTGGGACCAAGGCTGCACACAGGAAGTGATTCCACCTTTCCTCCTCGCAGGTATGGGCACCAGGTATAGTGTTCAGCAACAGGAAACCTGACCAATCTAGCAAGAAAACCTGAAGCTGGAGATGTGGGCTCCAGGCAGCCCATGGGATAAATGAGATCTGCATAGGAGACCTGGAGCTGGGGGAATTGGGGTTGGGTCACTGGGCTATGCAGTACCTCTTCTGTGACTAGGAAGATCTAGTGAAAAAAATGTAAACAGAGTAAATTTTTATATAAATTAAATATTAAAATGACAATTTTTATAGGGCCGGCCTGATAACTCAGTACACTAAAGCACCTGCTTAGGCAGAGCACAGTGGCCGACTTTGATCTCTGGCTTGTCATGCCAGCCCCACCCCTGGGGCACAGTGAGATGGTGATTGAGACTGGGCATGGTGGCACGTGCCTA